AGTGCTGGGCTGCAGTGTGCTCAGTGTCTCAGTATCAGAGTGCTGGGCTGCAGTACTGTATATCTTATGTGCTTGATTGTCTTTATATGTACACTTACCATGAACCTCATTCCTTTACCTTGCAGCATGTGAAGACACGCATGATGGTGGTTACTGCAGCAGTAAGTGCACAGTCGGCACAGCCTCAGCGCAGGGCTGCAGTCGGGGCCTAGTGTGTGGCTCTGGATGGGACTGGCTTTCCTGATATTGCCTCTTCTCTGCAGTGAACTGCGCCTGGGATTGGCGAAGGTCTTGCATAGGAAAAGGGCTGGAAGTCCTACGGTGAATATTACAGGTCTGTTCATTATTCTTTCACCTGTTTGTTTCTTGCAGATTGCATGAACTATGATGGTTATGCCAAGGAGTCCTGCATCAGAAGTAAGTTTTGCATTTTAACACACTTTAACACACTAAAGGCGATAGAGCTGTGTCCGTATTGATCTGCTGTCGTTCGAAGGTGTGGCTGAAAGACTGAAAGGGTTTCCCTTGGCACAGTGTCTTAGTGTTTTCTATGTGGCAAGAGGCAGAAGAAGCAAGAGGGGGCTCAGGCACTCAGGTGGGCCTGTCTGGTTCTGTTCTGGTTGTAGAATGGGTCCCAGAGAACATCACCGTGTCAGGGACGGGCTCCACGATGAACGTCACGTTTTCCAAGGCCCCAGACAGCTATGGAATTTCCAGCTACACTGTGTTGTACACCAGATGCCAGGAAGTCAACTGGCAAAGAGTGACTGTGGTAGGTGTTTGGAACCCTTAATATACAGTTTATGCTTACATTTGCATTCACATCTGTAAGGTCCATCCATTTCTATCAGAAAATCAGTGTTTGTGCACACAGCTGTCCTCCCTGCTAGTCCTGTCTTCTCCCCCCGACAGCAGCACCCGCTGCAGCTCCAGGGCGCCCTGCAGGTGCTGCTGCACGACCTCAGCCCCCGCACTGACTACTGCATTCAGGTGAGCTGCTCCCGCTGCGATGCTGCTCATTCCAGTACACGCCTATCACCACACTGCCCCAGGTCCAGGCCTCATTCTGCTTCCAGGCTTTTCAGGCAGGCCCCTGTTATAGCAGGACTGTCCTACTGCACTGGGACTGTAGCTCCTACTGTAACAGGACTGTCCTACTGCACTGGGACTGTAGCTCCTACTGTAACAGACTGTCCTACTGCACTGGGACTGTAGCTCCTACTGTACTGGGACTGTCCTACTGCACTGGGACTGTAGCTCCTATTGTAACAGGACTGTCCTACTGGACTGGGACTGTAGCTCCTACTGTAAAAGGACTGAGATACTGCACTGGGACTGTAGCTCCTTCTGTAACAGGACTGTCCTACTGCACTGGGACTGTAGCTCCTACTGTAACAGGACTGTCCTACTGCACTGGGACTGTAGCTCCTATTGTAACAAGACTGTTCGACTGTTAAAACAAGACTTTTCTACTGCACTGGGAATGGAGCTCCTGTTGTACTGGGAGTGTAGCTCCTACTGTAACAGGACTTTTTATTGTA